TCTTTAATTGATAGAACTGTATATCTACAGCTTGGTAAAGCCGGAAAACACATTGGTCAAAACAAGGTTGTAAGAAGTCTAGATGTACAGTGCTGTTCGATAAAAGTGACTCACCTGATTTTTTTTTATTAAAAATATTTTTTGTCTATTGTTTTTGGGGCTAAAATAATTTTTAATCTTACTAATATAAAGACCCCTTCTCGACCACCTAGTAAAAAAGTTTATTCACCCTAAGGTATTCTACTGATAATTATAAATTTGATATAAATGAGATTCAGAAAAAAAACTCCGTGCAAAAAAAGTGACTCAGATATCGCATTCTAATGATTAAACTGGTAAATTTAAAGAACTTTTGACAAAATATTGAAAACTATTTTACAATACACTCAGAACAATATTCGAGAGAATTCTAGAACAGCTTAAATTAAATCTAGAATATTCCAGAATATTCCAGAAATCCTCATACAGTATAAAAACAGCTTGAAATAGCCACTCAAGTCGCTAACCAGATGAAAGGGTACAAATACGCATCAGAACCACTTAAAACATCTATTATTGCCCTCTCAAAAGCAGGCAAGTCTACGAGAGAAATTGCAGAAATTGTTATAACCTCGCAATCAACTGTCTTTTAAGTCGTTATAAATTTCTATCTATAAAAGGCAGGATTTACATAAAATAAATAGACAACACTTGTATATACGTGGTCTATTTATTTTATGTAAATTCTTTTCATAACGTCTAATAAATTTAATGACATTATCATTGAACGAAGAAAGAAATTCACAATATTGATTCATATTTTTTAATACAATCTAAACTTTCGGCTTACATAAGCCATTATCAAAGATGTCAATTACAACATATTAAGCAATATACGGACAAGACAGTGATGATAGTCTGTGATTGTTTACACTTGTCTATATTATTTAATGAAACGTGTATGAATGAAAAGATGCTGCCTAAATACACACAATATAAATAAATAAATATAGATATATATATATACATATATATATATATATATATATGTGCGTGTGTGTGTGTGTGTGTGTGTGTAAAGCGATAAAAACACGTCGGATTATAAAATCCATTGCTTTTTTTATGAATTGCTTTGATTACGTTTCGGATATTAAACTTAGCAGGTAGGTACATTTGGGAATCTGAACGAGATAGGTAGACTCAAAAGGCAGAATACTAACTCAATCGCTCATCGTAGACTAGTGCATGAAAATCACGTCGGATCTAACGGTAATTTCACCTGCAAATAATAACATTTCTAATATCCAGGCCGGTACAGGAAAGAAAATTAAACAGGGCGTCAAATATGGGTATCCCATAGTAGCAACATTCATACGATAGGTGAATTTTACTGCTTGTCATTAATTTTAATTTACTGCATCTATTAAATATATTTCAGAATTTACCCGAGTCGATCGTTTATATTTGTATATTTGTTATATATATTTTTTTTCGCAGGAAATGGTACCATCGAGTACGCGGAATTTGTGGAAATGATGGCGAAGCAGATGGGTCCAAGCGACCCCGAAAAGGAGATGCGAGAGGCATTCCGTGTGTTTGACAAGGACGGTAACGGGTTAATCACAGCTGCTGAGTTACGCCAAGTAATGGCCAGCTTCTCCGATGAAAAACTGACCAGCGAGGAAATTTCGGAGATGATACGAGAGGCTGACATCGACGGGGATGGAATGGTGAACTATGAAGGTGAGTGATAGCAAAAAAAAAAAAAAAACACTGAGCAGGTGAGAGTGTTAAAGGAATATCAACCTGGCAAGTCGGATACAAAAACAATGTCGATTCATCACATTTTTAGCATCTGTTTATTGGAATAATCTTTGGCAGTAAATTCCGTGCAAGCAGAATAATCTTTGGCAGTAAATTCCGTTCATATCCATGAAGTTGTAAAATGAATAATTATATTGTTAAATATGGATTTCTTCATCATTGGTTTGCTGGTGTATTAATAAGCATATATATATATATATATATATATATATATATATTGTACACAACCGTCAGTAATAGCACATACTCAAAAAAAAAAAAAAACTTTCGGTCGACAAACAATTATATCGTCTTCAAGTTTTTGATTTTATAAGGAAAACATATGCCTGACGATGAATAAAGGATTATTCGAAAGTACTTGCATTTAAAAAAAATATAAACTGGAAACAACAGTCAACAGTTTTATAAATGAGGATCATGTCACTCTATGGAATAAACAGTATTTTAATGCATACATTATACACTACTAGCCATGGATGTCGCCATTAATACCATTAATATTACTGATTGATTCTATGTGTGATTATTTCTTTGTGCATATATATATATATATATATATATATATATATATATATATATATATATATATATATATATTTTATCACTTACACTTCGATATCTATATATTTAAGAGTTTATTTTTAAAATATAACTTATATTTATTTTAATTATAAATTATTTTCATTTTAAATATTTTTACATTTTTTATATTTTTAAATAGCGTTTATTCTAATTAATATTATATTAAAATATTAATAAAATAATTTGTTATATGATATACCTAATTATTTTATTAATTATAATTATAATCCTTAATATAACTTTTATGTCTATATATATATATATATATATATATATATATATATATATATATATATATATATCACTATTCATCACCTTTTATCTATATATTTTAAGAGATTATTTTAAAAATATAACTTTGTATTTTATGTTTATTTTTTAAATATAACTTATTTTTATTTTAGACATTTTTATATTTTTAAATATTTTTATTCTAATTAATATTATATTATAATATAATTAATAAAAGATACATATTATATAGCAATTTTTTTAATAATTATAATTTTTTTAAAAATATTACGTTACTTAATTTTAATATCAATTATGTTAATTTTAATTTATGATTAATTAATTATTTTCAATTTATTAATTATATTTTACTTGTACGTATAATTTATCTTTGGAAGAGTATTTAAGTAGGAACTTGTATTTTTAAACCTAACCTTTTCTATATATTTAAAAAGAAATCCTTTTCGGTACTCTTTTAGTTTCAGTTTAACACTTCATATAAGCCCAAATTAATGTCATAAGATTAATATCGGGGCTTAATTTTATACAACCTCTTACATTTAAGGTTAATACCTTCCAACCTCTTCTGACCCCTATGACGTGGCTTTCGTCTGACTGAAACTTTGAAATGGATAAATTCTGTATTAATTTTTTGATAACTTTTACGGTTAAATTTCTAATTTCGACACGAATTCTTTTTATACGAGAGTTGAATAAGACCGAAGAAGTTTTTCTCGATTGAAATACGTCCATACCCCATATGAGGTCATTTTCGGATTTATGGTTTAATGCTATTTAATTATGTTTTTTTTTTTTGTGGATTTGTTTTAATATTTTCTATTACTAAGATCCACTTGTATTATGTACAAGCGTATTTATTACCTTTACTACACATACACACACACACACACACACACGCATACACACACACACACACATACACACACGCATACACACACACACACATATATATATATATATATATATATATATATATATATATATGTTAATCCATATGGAATTTCCAGGAGGATATCGACAGAGTAAAATAAAAAATAATAATGTTCATTTCATGACAATATTCAAGAACTATAAACAAAATAGCAATTTTGCTGTTTCACCCGATATATATATATATATATATATATATATATATATATATATATATATATATATATATGTGTGTGTGTGTGTGTGTGTGTGTGTGTTTTATATCTATATATATATATATATATATATATATATATATATATATATATATATATAGGTATATACGGAATAAATTCCATTTACCAAAAAAATAATATTCTTAAAATAATGATCAATACATAATAGAGCAAATACAATTTCTTCGAAAATTATAACGTAAATATGTTCTAAAATCACTACAAAAATAGCCATTTTGTTTCGGCACTTCTGGAGACTTATGAAGTGATGGTGTTGAATGTAGAATAAAGATAGATAGATAGATAGATAGATAGATACACACACACACACACACATATATATATATATATAGATAGATAGATCTAGATTATGTAGATGTATTCACTCAGGTAGAGATGGGAAAAGAGAAAACACTTTGACATTTATATATATATATATATTTTATTTATATATATATATATATATATATATATATATATATATATATATATATATATATATATATTTTACATTTTATTTTAATGTATATTCTATTTACGTTTACGAATCTCATTGATTTTTTCATGGATATGATTTAATTAATTTTTAACATTTTTTTTCAAATTAACCACGACGTTCTTAAGTAACATATTTGCAGCGGTGGGGGTAGGGACAAGAAATAGATTCATACCTCATCAGGATTTAATAAACAAACAAGACATTATGATGAATATATTAAATGTGTTATCAAGTCTGTATTTCTCTTCTCACCCCCATCCAGGCAAGACTTGTATCAGTAAAATATTATTATCTAAAAAAAAAATACACACACACATTATTAGAAACTAGAAACATTTCCTGGTTTTAAATAACTAGTAAAGGGTTGATAATCCGTAAAAAAACGAATCAATGAATCAAAGTATCGTTCTAGTTTTTTTTATTATCGCTACTAGTTTTAATATCAGGAATTGACGACGATATTTAAATAATTTTGCAATTGCAACTGCTATGGTTATTTTTCTGCATTTTTAATTGATATATTTTATCCATAAAAGGAAATATTTTGTCGTATGTCAGAAATAATGCTGCTTCACAAATTATTGAAAGTATTAATGAAGCTAAAACAAAAGAAGAGAAAATATGTATAAGCAAAACGTTCTTCTATGCTCATTAATGAGATATTGTCTTATTGGAAATGAGATTACCACCTGTCAAACTGCTAAATATATACATTTGTATTATTTGCTATTATAGAATAGACTAAAATTATTAATCCACGCTTTAGATACAGAGTTATATTCGATAGATAGATAGAAAAGCAGAAAGTAAAAACATTGAGATAGATAGATAAATAGAAATAGAATCATAAAAAGAAATCGAAAAACAGAGATAGATAGATAGATAGATAGATAGATAGATAGATAGATAGATAATGGAAAGAAAGAGATAATAGATAAAAGAAACGGCCATGAAATAGATAATGAAAAGAAACGGCTATAGATAGATAGAAAATGGAATGAAATAGAAGATAGATAGATAGATAATAGATAGATAGATAGAAAAATGAAATGGAAATAAAATAGATAATAATAAAAAACGGCCATAGATAGATAGATAGATAGATAATGAAATGGAAATAGAAATAGATAGATCCAATAGATAGAAAGAAATAGATAGATATGAAATGAAATAGATAGATAATGGAAAGAAAAAAAAACGGCTATAGATAGATAGATAGATAGAAAGAATGAAATGGAAATAGATAGATAGATAGATAGATAGATAGATAGATAGATAGATAGATAGAAAGAATGAAATGGAAATAGATAGATAGATAGATAGATAATGAAAAGTAAGAAACGGCTATAGATAGATAGATAGATAGAAAGAATGAAATGGAAATAGATAGATAGATAGATAGATAGATAGATAGATAGATAGATAGATAGATAGAAAGAATGAAATGAATAGATAGATAGATAGATAGATAAGAGATAGATAGATAGATAGATAGATGATATGGATAGATAGATAGATAGATAGATAATGAAATGGGATAGATAATATAGATAGAAAGAATGAAATAAATAGATAGATAGATAGATAGATAATGGAAATAGATAAAAGAAAAATGGAAATAGATAGATAGATAGATAGATAGATAGATAGAATGAAATGAAATGGCAATATATAGATAGATAGATAGATAATGGATAAGATAGATAGATAGATAGATAGAAAGAATGAAATGGCAATAGATAGATAGATAGATAGATAATGGAAAGTAAGAAACGGACATAGATAGATAGATAGATAGATAGATAGATAGCTACTGATTGGTTCTCTTATACTTATTGTTTAAATGATTAACACCTCGATATAATTAAGATAACCAGATCCTATAAATCTCAATAAATTAAAAGGCCGTTATTAATGATTGGTGTGTTTGTAGGCGACAGCATCTCGAGCTGCTGATGCGAATACGGACAATAGATTGGCCATTACACGGATAATTGCCTGCAGGAAGCAATTGAAACGAGTTGCTGCCGATGAGAAAAGAAAAGAAGTTAAATTCATGTCACTTACGAACGGTGATAATTGCGCCTGTATGGATGCAGATTGGCGGGAAGAAATCAATGAAATCGACAATTAAGTTCCTTTTTCTTTCTAGGCAGACAGGAAATCTGAAGAGAACGTACAACAGACTGTTAATTCTATAAAAATGAATACTTATTCTTGATTCTGATCAAAACATGCAAATTGCGAGATTTCTGAGTCAAGGAATTTATATTAATATAATCCACGCTATTCCAATTATATCCACACAGAAAAATGGAAAGAAAATCAGATTAAAAACATTGAGATAGATAGATAGATAGATATGGAAAAAACTGAGATCAATTGATCAATATATATGTATATATATATATATATATATATATATATATATATATATAGAGAGAGAGAGAGAGAGAGACAGACAGATAGATAGATAGATAGATAGATAGATATGACCAGAGAGAGAATATGATAGGTATCTATCTATCTATCGATAATGGAAAGAAAGAAACGGCCATAGATAGATAGATAGATAGATAGATAGATACTTAATGAAAAGAAAGAAATGGCGATAGATAGATAGATAGATAGATAGATAGATAGATAGATAATAGATAGATAGATAGAAAATGGAAAGAAAGAAATGGAGATAGATAGATAGATAGATAAATAATGGAAAGAAAAAAACGGCCATAGATATATAGATATATAGATTGATAATCGAAAGAAAGAAACGGTATTAGAAAGAGAGTAAAAACATTGAGATAGATAGATAATGAAAAGAAAGAAATGGCGATAGATAGATAGGTAGATAGATAGATAGAAAGAAACGGCTATAGATAGATATATAGATAGATAATGGAAAGAAAGAAACGGTATTAGATAGATAGATAGATAGATAGATAGATAATGGAAAGAAAGAAACGGCCATAGATAGATAGATAGATAGATAATGGAAAGAAAGAAATGACAATAGATAGATAGATATCTTAATATACAATCATTTATTCAAACGAACGTCTTCATCTTCGTTGTTAAAGGTAAAATTTCCCTGGTCAATGAATAATTTCACATTAATTACATTATTCGGACTATTGTTCTCATTTTGTTACCATATTTATTACAAAGTTTCGGCCGTTGTACGCTCCGGCCTTCTTCAGGTGGTACTCAACTGCCTTAACCGTCCTCAAGGAGACATGGTTCAGTGGATAAAGTCGTTGGTAAGATCCAGCTACACGACCCTAAAAGTGTGTGTATAATGCCCGTTTAAGACAGCGTCGCACTTGGAGAGGGGAATTAACAGAAGATAACTGATAACTGACATCCATTAAACATAGCACGTGTAACTAGAACAGTCTACCCCAGTGATCGAAATAAAGGGTTCAGTTCGACATTCCAATCACCTGAAGAAGGCCGGAGCGTACAACGGCCGAAACGTTGTAATAAATATGGCGACAAATAGTCCGAATAATGTAAATAATGTACATAATACCTCATCTCAGAAATATTGACAGATACTGTAGGGCCGAAACGTTCTGATAAATATGGCGACAAAGACGAGGACAATAGTCCGAATAATGTAAATAATGTATATAATACCTCATCTCAGAAATATATACAGATACTGAAAGGCTGAGACGTTGTAATAAATATGGCGACAAAGATGAGGACAATAGTCCGAATAATGTAAATAGTGTACATAATACCTCATCTCAGAAATATTGTCAGATGCTGAAGGGCCGAAACGTTGTGATAAATATGGCGACAAAGACGAGGACAATAGTCCGAATAATGTAAATAAATAATACCTCATCTCAGAAATATAGACATACTGAAAGGCCGAAACGTAATGAATATGGCTCAGAAATAATAGAAATAGTGTACATAATATACCTCATCTCAGAAACTAGAAAGGCCGAAACGTAATGAATATGGTGACAAAGATGAGGACAATAGTCTGAATAATGTAAATAGTGTACATAATACCTTCTCTCAGAAATACAGACAGATACTGAAGAGCCGAAATGTAATAAATATGGTGACAAAGATGAAGACAATAGTCCGAATAATGTAAATAGTGTACATAATACCTCATCTCAGAAATATAAACAGATACTGAAGAGCCGAAACGTTGTAATAAATATGGCAACAAAGATGAGGACAATAGTCCGAATAATATAAATTATGTACATAATAGCTCAGCTCAGATATATAGACGAATAATTTCACCCAATCATCTTTTAGTATTTATTTCTGAATTTCTAAGATAAAGAATTTTCTATATATGCGTTAATCTATACAGATTAATATCTTCATCTTGGTTCTTACGATGAAAACATTTCGCTCGTGGGGGACGCTGGTCGGTAAGAATGCTGGTTAACGTCCCCTGTGCGTGCAGACAAAATGAAAACGGATATTCAAAGAGCTCTTGCTTCCAACTAAAAAGGTTTTCAATGGAAAAAACATCAGCAGAACACCTCATCAAGTGGAACATATTTCAGAATATTTATTCAAAATAAACATTCGAAATGTGCCGATTTTAATCTCGTATTTTGTATGCGCGCCAAACCGTAGAGGCTACTCTGCATTGTAACCCTCCGACCTTCCTCTGATGTCTAATATAATCAGAAAGCTATATATAGCTATGTATGTATCGATATATATATATATATATATATATATATATATATATATATATATATATATATATAATTTTTTACAAAATTGTTCTATCGCTACACAGGAATTAGCTTGTTTCAAAAACAGAAGTTAAACACTTCAAATTCAATTATAGAATTGAATAGTTATGTTTCATTTTTTAAGCGACTTTTAGAATAACATATTTTGAAATTTACTGAGTTTTATAAACACATACATTCATAATATTAGTTTCTCTGGAAATGGGGAAATCCAGTCATTTTAACAAGGGCTGGTAGGGTATTTTTACTGACAACTAATTGTATCAAAATATGAGTTACTTTCGAAAAGAGTTTACGTCAAGATAGGGTAGGGGTGCCTTTTCAACGAATGATGACATCCGTTCATCGCGTGTCGTTTAGTCTTCCTTAAATTTCTACTTGTTTCTCCAATATATTGAGAGGGACAGTTTTGGCAATTTATACTATAAATGCCTGCTTCAGGAAAAAAACAACTTAGCTAACGCACTAGTCATACATAGAAATACATTCAACCACAATTTTGATTTTAAAAATGCTACACTCATAAAAAAAGAAGATAACTCACCCAGAAGGAAAATCCTAGAGAGTGCTGCTATTGAATATTATCCAAATATTAATCTACGCACAGGCGTTTTCCCTATTTCACCTTTCTTAACTGAATTGCTACTCACCCAAACAAGCGTATCAAGAAAACAAAAGAAAATGGTTGAATCCGTCAACACAGCAATAAAAACAATATCTACACACGTGACAGTAATTAACGTAAAATAGCGTTCTTTAAATTCTTCCAGTTGCTAAGGACATTTTGTTTTTGTTATTATTAGTTACTTTGTTTAATAAATTCATTTCGTTTTTTTTTTGCCTTGAAAAAGTTCACATTGGACGAAACGCGTCGGCAACTATTACAGTTTTCCTATTGTCTTTTACATTTATAAATATTCTCTTTATCTACAGGTTAACTCTGAGAATTTTTTCATAAGCTTATATGTAAAGGAACTATAGTTATAGAACTAAAGATAGTATACAAGTGGGTTACCGGCCCGAGTTGGAATAACTTGTCAACTTCCGTAAGACGGGCTGTAGTTAGAATAACATCTGATGAGACAAAAAGTTAGAAGAAACAAAGGAATATATACTAATAAAATATAATTAATTGAAAAGAAAAAAAAACAGAACAAATAAAAGGATAAAATATTATGAGAAAAATTTGGAAATCTATTGTAAAAAAAATGGGGGATGTAGAAAAAATAATAATAAAGGAAAAACAGAGGTGAAAAGCGTATATATATATATATATATATATATCAGGTCATCCCATAAGTTATGTCCGAATTTTAACTTTTTGTTAAAATGAACGAAATTTAAAGAGTATTTTATAATGTCTAATGGAGCTGAACATTATTTTTATGTTTAGATGCATTTAAACTGATCAAATTTTATTTCAGAGAACAATAAAATTAAATTTTGTTTGATTAAAACCCTGCTAACATGGAAGTACCCAAGAATCATTTGAGGCACATAATGCTTTATGAGTTCAAGAAAGGAAACTCAGCAGCCGAAGCGGCTAGAAACATTTACTCAGTTTATGGAGAGGAATGTGTGAATGAAAGAACTTGCAGAAGATGGTTTGCATAATTCAGAGGTGGAGATTTCACCCTTGAAGATGAAGATCGAACTGGACGTCCAGTTGAGTTTGATGAAAAGCTTCTTGAAGCAGCCCTTGAAGAAAATCCTGCTTTATCAGTTGAGGAATTGGCATTGTTTCTCAGTTCAAACCTTACAATTGTTGATCGTCATCTTCAACAACTTGGAAAAGTTCCTAAACTTGGAAAATGGGTGCCTCATGAATTGTCTGAAAACAACCTCAAATCCCAAGTTGACATCTGCTCTTCTCTACATTCTCGCAAACTTGTTTCACCTTTTTTTTTGGATAGACTTGTGAATGGCGACGAAAAATGGATCTTTTATCGAAATGTTAAGCGTCGGAGACAGTGGCTTATTAAAGGGGAAGGACCCCAGCCACAGCCGAGAAGGGAACTTCATGGACAAAAGGTTCTTCTTTCAATCTGGTGGGATCGCCAAGGAATAATCCACTTTGAATTCTTACCACCTAATGCAACAATTAATTCTCAAATATATTGTCAGCAATTAGAGCGTTTGAACCAAGCTTTGAGGAAAAAAAGACCTGCTCTAGTGAATCGAAAAGAGGTGATGTTTCATCAGGAGAATGCGCGACCCCACACAGCAAGAATCACGTCACAAAAGATCGAAAAACTTGGTTGGGAGAAAATTCCTCATCCACCTTATTCTCCCGATCTTGCTCCTTCAGACTACCATTTGTTTCGTAGCTTACAGAATCATTTGGAAGAAACAGCTTTTGTAACACAAAAAGAGGTTAAAACTGACATTTGTGAGTTCTTCGAATTAAAGCCAAAAGAATTTTACAGTAATGAAAGTAGTAAGCTTGTTAATAGATGGAAGGAAGTCATAGATAATCAGGGTAAATACATTGTTGATTGAATCTGTAATTAAATGTAACATTTGGTCACTTGTTTTCTTTATTCAAAATTCGGACAGAAATTCGGATAGTTCCTTTATATATAAAGGAACTATAGTTATGGGACTATGTAATAGTATAAAAGAAGGTTACCGGAAAGTAGCCCTCAGTGTACTTGGTAAAACTTTCATTATTGAATAGGGTGTAATGAAGGAAAATCATAGGTGGCAGAACATAAAAATATAGTAGGTAGGAGATGGCTGTTAAAATCTGGAGCTAAAATGTCGGTGCAGGTCCTACTCATTCGAGGAGTGGTGTTGCTGATAATAGGTTTCCTTGTGGAAATTATACTCTTTGAGTAAACCCAAATCTCTGTTTAGTCCCTTTCAGTGGGAATATTACTCTTAGGATATACTTCAACTCTGATCTGCGTCTATCCTCCCGACTAACGAACCAAGAAGCTAAAAGCACGCACCCGACATCGTCGGTGCTATGACCAGGTTGGTTGAAGTGTACAGAGACCTAAAAATTGTTGTTGGCCCTGATGTTTTTCCTCTGGTTATTAAACCGTAAATGGATCTCTGTTCCGGATTCTCCCACATAATTTTCCTGCTCAGAAAAGTAAATATACGAAATTGGAAATTGTTGTGTATGATACACCTAATTTACATAAGCGGACTACCGACCATATAAATATGGGTTGGTACCGGAAGACGGGGGAGATAGTAGAGATTAAGAAATTGAATCCAGAGACTCTGCCCGACTGCGATTTAGTCAACCCATTATGCAGGAACAGTCTTCCCAAGAATATAC